TACATAAAGCACAATTATTTTAACTGACACTCAAAGAGCAAAACATTGGCTCAAATCTCCAAAACTCTAAACACGTTTCCAGGTTTTCACACAATTTGCAAATCAACATGGCACTTTTTGCAAATCATTGCACACGTTATCAACCATGGTTTGACGATGAGAGAGGCTGGACAGAGGGTTCAGCCTAATCTAAGCCGATTTACTGTTGCCTCTGTAATCCGGACACTTAAGACTTGATAACAGGTTACCGGTAGTTACCAGTTTTTAGCTCTGCATAATTCATGATATATCAGTGCTTATATCTGTTGTGTGAAACGTATTTACTTCATTACTGTAATTGAATTGTTGGCATGTTGCCACTATAACTGTACACAAATCCTGCACAATGTACTGTGGTAAACTTACTTTTATGCAACACAGACACTGACCAACCACTAGATCTTTGTTGTTTATCTGAAGGACTGAGAAAAAAAGAGGTGCAGGTGGAGGGCTAAGGATTTTCAATGAGGCACAGGAAGCAGCAGTTACAAACTTGGTTTTGGCAAACAATGCCATCACACTTAGAGAGATCCGAAGCATAGTAAATATGTGCTGAGATGCATTTTACACAATGTTATTTTAGAATAAAATGTGATTTTTTTCAACAACTCATTTGTATTTCTTCATTTACTGTATTTCTGTAAACTCAAGCAATCTTTCTCTGCAGAAACCTCTATGTACAGAGCATAGCCCATAAAAGATTAAAGTGCTTTAGATTATGCTCAGCAGTATGTGGTTGGATGGTCAAACAATCCAGTATTATGAATTAAGTGTGTTGTATTTAGTGCAAAAGTTTGCATTTGGTAAGTGTTTATGTAGTTTTGAGTGCAGCTCTTAACTTAGCAGGAGAAATGAGGAGTTTTGCACTTTGAGTGTGTGGTTTTGTGAATTGTGTTTAGTGTTCTGAGAAACTGAGCAATGTGTGTTAGCAATCGAGACAAACTGTAGTACCTTTCCTGTTTTTATTTTTAATAGCGGTGGGATCATTATGATTGTTTGGCATACACTCTATTGCTTTGTGTTCAATTGCCTAGCTGTGGTCTTTTGTTTTTATGTTCGAGCATCCGCTGTCACAGTGGGTTTCCAGCTTAAGTAGATTCATTATGGCTGACTGGTTGAAAAAGTTCACCCATTAGGTTGCATCCTACAGAGCATCTTGTTTTTATTCTCTTGATTGAGTTTTCATAAAAGCATTTGAATATGTTTTCTAATTATTCCTACCTGCCATATATTCTTACTATATAAGTACATTACTGTGTCCTGTATTTCGTTAGAAGTATTGTGGAGCTGACTGTAACACCCTGACAGTGGCTGCAATTAATGATCAATTAAATGGTGATGTGGATTGAATCCATGACCTTTGGTTGCCAAGCGACCAAACCAATTCTTCCCCAGTGGCTTATCACGCTACGGGTTGTTGTCAGGTCTCCACCGAAGGTCTTGACAGATCTGACCTTATACAAGTAGCTAGCTATGTGAAATATTTTCAATAAATACTATGAATATTGTATGCTCATATTCAGCCCCACTGTGTTGTTGTTTGGCCACACGCGTGCGTTTGGTACATTTCTTTAGCTACAAAAACAAGGAACATTTTTGAAGATGAGCATTCTTTCACCTTCCATTGTAGACACTTAACATATAAAGAGTTTGTGTTTGATTGAATTGTGTTTTTAGGCTGTTGTTTTGAGCCCTCTATTGCACCACATCAAATATTGTAAGTGTTGAGCTGCAGCCGTTGTATTAGCAGGGATCCTACGCTGACAACAAAGCAGTCAAAAGTCCCCAGAGGTTACTGAAGCCTCTCGACACTGATACAATCTGTAAATGACATAGCACAGTCTAAAAAATCAATACCAAGATTATGATCACAAATGAGACGTGCATGCCCCTTTGTATTTGAAAATGAAGAAAGATCCCGTCCACTGGAATATAATTAACATGTGGTTAGCCCTGTGTTGCCTTGGGTGTAAGTGTAAATAATGAAAGTGTATTAATCCGAGAAGAAATATAGGACTATGATAGGGCTGCTCAATTAATCATATTTGAATCGCGATACAATTATGGCTTGCAACGATTACGAAAACAACGTAATCGAAATAATTATTTAATAATAATAATAACTTTTTTTTTTAAATAATTGTTGTTTTGTTTTGTTTTTCAGTTTAATTATACTTAAAGTTCAGGGTAATCAACTGTTAAAAACATACTGTTCACATTTGTTTTCTTTGATTTAGACTCAGACTGTTGATGTGACTAATGGAACCACTGCATAGTTCATGTATTGATCATGTTTTGAGCCCTTTGATAATTATGTGCCGATATTTATGTGTTTTTCAGGCTAAATACTTGTTAATACTGCAGGATGTGGAAGTTTGCTGTGCATTATCAGCTGCTGACTTTGGGAAAAAGCTTCTTATTTTTAAAAGTTATATTTCTAACATGAGCACAAAAGAAAGGTCAGTTGGTCCTAGGTTGGAACATGTTTGAGGGGATATGTGTCCAGTTATTTTTAAAAGCTTCGCCAGCAAAGTATTAAACAACCAAACACAATATAAATATTTCACAAGGGTCCCCACATAACATTTGGAAAAGTGTTTAATATCGAGTCTGTAATATGAGAAATGGAGTTGTGTTTGTTTTGATATGTCCATGGAGGCCCCAGATGGAAAATGTGTGCATGAATGGAAAGTTATGGTGTAAGGTCTCCTTCATTTATAAACAATCGATGAATTGACTCAGTGTGAATGCTCTGGATTTAATCCTTTTTGCACGCCTTTTTTTCTTTTTGGTTGGCTTAAACAGTGGTTTAAAGAGTCGACAACAAAAAAGAAAAATATGGCAATTAACAAAATGGTTCTTGCCTTTTAGGTTTTCTGAAAGATCAGAGCAACCAAAATAAAAAATCTCAGTGCCTAGTATACTTAAAAATCACTTTTAAAATTCTCCTTGAACATTAATTGTTAATTTATGCTGCTGAACTATAGTAATATTTGTTGTCTTGAGAGTTAAAATTATGTAAGATAGGGCGTTTTTTTATTAATTTCTTATCCGCAAGCCAGGTGAGAATAAATGTATCTATCCAAAATAAGTATTACTACCAGCCAGCAAACTAACTCTGGCTTCATGTTCTTATTTGTTCAGTACATTTGAGTTCTTCCTTTCCTTCCCATTGGAGCGAGGGTTTGATCATTGTTTCTCTATTTTTTTGTCCTTCAGAGAAAGAACGTCGACCTGCTGCTGAATGTGTTTTTGCTGGCTGCCTGGGGAGTCGTCCTATTGGCCGGCCGCTTCTACTGGATGGGTAACAAACCTCCGAACTTCTCCAACTCCGACAACCCGGCAGCGGACTCACCATCGCTCCTCACCCGGATGCTTACCTTTTCCTACCTGCCCGCCGCCAACTTTTGGCTTCTCCTTTGCCCGGACATGCTCAGTTTTGATTGGTCAATGGACGCCTTGCCTTTGATCAGGCGCCTTGCTGATTGGAGGAACTTATACACAGCAGCCTTCTACCTTGGATTGTTCTTCCTGGCCTGGTTCAGCCTGTGGACGCACCAGACGGTTAAGGGCAAGGAGACGAACGGCAAAGCGCATCATTACACCAATGGCAGAAATGGGAACAGTAATGGACACAGTTACCAATATAACAATCATGAACATACAAACAATTCCCACACAGACTTTCACATTAATAATAATACACAGAATGGTACCAAAAAGCACTATGAGAGCAGGACTCCACTGCCCACCTCGGAAAATGTTGTGGTGTTCTCTATAGGCCTGTTGGCCATCCCTTTCCTCCCTGCCACAAACTTGTTTTTCTACGTAGGGTTTGTGATAGCAGAGAGAGTACTGTACATCCCCAGCATGGGCTTCTGCTTGCTGGTGGCAGTGGGGATGAGGTCTCTGTATGTGCGTCTGCGACGTAGGTCCTTCAGGACGATGTTGGTGTACTGCAGCGCTACCGTCGTCCTTCTCTTCAGTGTCAAAACTGTTTTGAGGAACAAAGACTGGCAGAATGAGGAGATGCTCTACAAGTCAGGGATTTACGTCAATCCTGCTAAAGGTAAGGCTCTTTTATTGCAATCGACCCACACAAAGGTGAAACTGCTCTGACATGTGCTACATTTTTACTATAACATTTCCCACAAGAAAACTTATTTGCCCCATCATGATTTGTTTTTTTGATAGTAGACAAGCTCTTAGGCAAGGATTTGAATTAGATGCTGTCTCTCTGCTGCCGCAATGAATTATTCAAAGTCAAGCTGCTTCAAAATGTCTTCTCTTCGTCATTCAGCCTTACCACAGAATATACAAGTGCTTACAAGTTCAATGCGTCAGAAGTAAAACTAGACTGGTGTAAGTTGTACTAATAAAGGCTACATTTATTCCTAAAAAACACTTGATTTTACAAGGACTACAACAGAGTTGAACCTCTTTATCACACTTCTTCTTATAGCCCCCTATGCAATCTGTTTAATGACACCAGATGCCCTGTCTTAGTTGGGAGGGCACCATCACACGTCTCTGATTGGCACTTGCAACGGCAGATGAAATATTCAATAGCCTTCACATTCAAGGTCATCGCACACACATTCCTGTCCAAAGCAAAGTTGTGAGAGTTGCTGAGCAGGGAAGCAGGGCAGGGTCCAGGCAATAGGGACACGTTGTGTTAGCTAATTTCCCTTTCAAATTCTGAGCGGAGCTGAGCCGTGACAGCTGTTTGTTTTGGCAGGCGGTCCGCTGAACAGAGCAGCAGCAATGTCCCGACTCACATTCATTACAGCTAACATGAGATTTGAACAGAACCCAGCACAAACTCAGACCCACTCATCGGATTGTTTTTACTTCTTTACTTTTCACCAAGCACCTCTTTCCTTCTAAAGATGCTTTATACATTCTGAAAGCGCTGTTGAATTAAGTACTTTTTGGTTGTTTTTCGTAACTGCCTTTGTTTATACTTAATATAACTCCAGGAATTCAGATGTTCTGATTTTTAACAAAAATAATTTGTATAACTTGCTTAAAGGCAATCTGCATATTTTTAAAGTATTTTCCTACTAAAGCATTTTAAACGCTGGTCAACAAAAGCAGCAAGAGCTTGGATTTGATCTTTATAGGAACTTTAGGGATGCAAGTAAACCTTTATTGATCCCAGTAGGGAAAATCTGGTGTTTTTCTAAATACAAGATAGCAAAGGCAAGAGTTAAATACAAAAGGAAAATACTAATAATCGTAATTATAATAAAAGATACAAAATTCAGAAATACATTTGTATGTACATTCTAAATAAAGATGTTTATATATATATATATATATATATTCAGATATGGATTATTATAATGTTGTAATATCTTTACTTAAATGTCAATTTGGAAGTCCATAGTCGGTACATTATGGTGATTAAATTATATTATATTGCACTATATTATATTATGTACATATGTACATAGCTATGGCCATCAACTACTATCTTACATACAATGAATGTGTTATTTTACTAAAATAAAAGGCTTTTTAAAAAGCTCATAGCTGTCTCATTCCACCTGTACGTTGCCACAATTCAAACTCTAATGCCATTTTCTTTACAAAAGCACTGTGGTGGTCTTCTTTTGTTCATACACAGGAATAGGAATGACTGGTGCTTGGCAGAAACCTCCCCCTGTGCGTCATCTCTCTTTACCCATAATGTCTTTCTCCTTAGAGGTTAAAAAACCCTGAACACGTGTCAGTACGGAGCTGAGAATAACAAAAGAAACGGATTACTTGCCACAGAAATGTCCCTCCTTGCTGTTTTAATCTAAGAGCTTTTAAAGATTCTGAAAAATGTATCAAAGGAGGTTGTCACAAACGCTCTTTTTTTATTCTGTATGATTAACCTTTTCTTTTGTAACCTGTCAGCATGGGGCAACCTCGGAAACGTCCTGAAGAGCCAGGGTGAGATGGAGGAGGCTGAGCAGGCGTACAGAAATGCCCTCTATTACCGCAGCAACATGGCCGACATGCTGTACAACCTGTGAGTTTATACCATTATATGTTTGTGTGGGACTATGGAGCTTAAAGGGCTATACCAAAGCATTGTCCATAAAGCTGACTTTTGAATTCTCAATCCAAACAATGAATGATCCAAACAATTACAATGCGTCAAGAGCATTTTATTATTATTAAAAGTGCCAAATTGGTAAAGAGATATATGTTATCATTTCCAATATCCCCACATTTTTTTTCATACTTAACATTATATTAACCATCATCAGTAAATTGTGAATCAATTGTTCATTTAAACTTGAATTAGAAAATGTTGACAGCTAATGTAAAGCTTGTTATGATGTGATTTGTTATTTTGCATTATTTTCAAATATACTACTGTATAGTAAGTTTTTGATAATGATAACTAATGAATTGTAAATCTTAAAGTTTGTAACATATATATATAAACACAAACTGTTAATGTAAATGGTGTGTATACCGCTTTAAAACATTATCCAAAAAAGTGATATTAGTTGTAAAAAGCAAAGATTATATATTTTCATTCAATTGTTTGTTAACAGTTTAATAACTGTTATTTAAGTTTCAATTGATCATTTATTAATGATGGTTATTACTGGGTTACGGCTGTTACAGACATTCACATTTTTTGAAAACCTGAATAGAAGCTATGAATGTAAAAAAAAAAAAGGTTCTGTACAGCCCTGATATTTTTTTCTTCTTCTATATGCTCAGGTTTAATAGCCTTCGAGTACCGGTGGATGTTCATAATATGTTTTCGTACATGTATACAAGATTTTCCTTTGAGTGCGTCTCCACTCCACGCTGTGTCATTGACTTATGAGTGTGTGTGAACAAATGGACGAGTTCTCCGTTTACATGTGTGTGTCCATTGATAAAGGCTGTCGTCTCAGAGGAAGTGCCGTCCTGTGAAGTTTTCCCCAGAGGGCCGTCTGGCTGACAGCATTATAAATGATGCTGTTTTAGCCTGAGGGGCGAAACACAAAACATCCATGTGTGCTCAGATGTCTGTGGTTTCCTAGATCTAAATCTTCCCCTTCACTTTTATCAGCTGCTTGTGGTCTTCTCTAATCCTAACGGAGGCTATTTAACTTTAAGAGGAGACATTGAGGTTAAGAGGGTAACAACTTTAACTAACAGATACATGCAATAAAACTCCCTAGCTGATTTTTTCCATTGAGGTAATATTTTGTTGTATTACAAGTTTTTAAATTGCATAGTTAATCAACCAAATGACACAATATCGTATTAAATATGAGCAAATGTGAAAACATTAACAAATCTAGGTTCAAAATTATTGTACATTTTGCTGACATATAAGGGTCATAACTGAGCAAAAATTCAACCTGTAAATAATAAAAATGTTTGCCATGTTTTTACAATGAAATATGGAAATTACACTACGGATATTATATTAGCAGTGCAAATGAGGCCTTATCTAATGCTAACTGTTGGTACATTAAGGATAAATCTACAGAACTAAGTATAAGTGAAGTAAAATAAACACCTAAATGTATATTTTTTCTTTCCTTTTTTATGAAGTAATACATGCTATGAAAGCAATAGAGCCTTCAATAAATAAATGTTGTTTTTTTCTGCCTGAGGAGTCTCACATCTCCTCTTTTGGGCCCTTTAAAGCTCACACATCTTCCCCTTTGTCTCTTTCAGCGGTTTGCTGCTACAGGAGAGCAACAAGTTCTCAGAGGCGCTCCACTATTATAAGCTGGCCATTGGAAGCCGGCCAACTCTGGCTTGTAAGTGCAGCTCTTCTTTTTTATTGACAATCTCCAGCTCCTGTGATTGTGGCTGCGCTGTGTCCAGGCAACAGTGAACGCAGCCGGTCGTTATGTGAAGTGAGAGGGAAAGGTGTCAAAGGGCAGTGGGTATACGACCAGATCCAACAATCGGCACAGCTGCCCGATTGGCTTTCAAAGCTGTGTCGACAGATCAGGCAACTGCATGATCTGTCATGTATTATGAATTCAAGCCAGACTCTCTTGTTCTATTTTATCTTTTCCACTACATCTTCTTATTCCCTCCGTTTCAGCCTGTCTCTCTCTAGGGAATTAATCGACAATTAATTCCCTGCTTCTTCTAGATTCTTCCATCCACTATCATCTTCTGGCAGTGTGATTAATACAAATCTCTCCCAATCTTACCTGATCATGCAATAAATTAGCTCCCCATTGTTCTAGGCATCAGTTAATGTCAGATAAACAGAGAATCTTAAATGCCTATTCCTTTCTTCCCCCGGATTAATTATCGACCTAATCAAGGTCACGATTAGACTAGAACATTTGCATGCAGTGTGCAATTATCTGTTAAAGCAGTTTAATGAATTACCTCTAGCAGCAGACATGTTGAAGGCATAATTAGAATGTGACAATTAAAAACGTTTTCCAAGAAGGAACCATTACTCACCGCGTAATTGGGAGCTTACAAGTGCAAACATTAGCATTTTATGCAGGTTATGCTGATTTCTGATAAAGTGCTTTTGATTTCTGTCATGTTTTGCATACAGTATTTCAGTTTACAAGGCTTATTGTGTTGGAAACATCTGTTGTTTTTTATTATTGGTTCTACTTTGATTTCAGATTCAAATTACCCTAATATACTTATGTTGAGGTTCATAATTCTATTTTGTGCCTCTACTGGGACATGTTTCCATGCTTTAATGTTCAAAAAGCTCTTTATTTTTCTCATACTGCCTCTGCTGCAGCACCTCTTTTCACCCTCTGTCTGAAACCAGAGCCCAGTTGGCTCTGATTGGTTAGCTGGCTGGCTCTGTTGTGATTGGTCAACCGCTTAGAGATGTCCTGCCCCTTATCACGTACAATATAGTATGTTGGAGAGCTAGCCAATAGAAGAGTGAGTGTTACGTAGTGATGTTACTATGTCACAGAAGTAAACAAAGGAGTCCAATGGGGGGGTTTCAGGCAGGTGATGAATGTGTGGGAGAGAAACTCCCTCTGGAGGGATCTTTGGGATGTTAGCCTTTACACACAAACCTATATAACACACTACATGAGAGGGAAAACCCCCAAAAGCATAATAGGGTCCCTGTAAGATAACATATTTCAAAGAAGAGGAAAAAGAGAGCATTTGTGATTGGATAAATAGACTGTTTGGTTCTTACCCACCTTCTTTTAACTTGATTAAATATTGAGACCCACGGCCAAGCCCCCAGGAAGTGCGCTGGACTCAGATAAAAATATTCGTGGTGGCCAAACGGCGATACTACACTTCCGTTTGGTTGCCAGGCCCGGAAACACTTTTTCCCATTGACTAACATTGGGAAAGAGTGGTCTGTAAATCGTTGGATAATTTTTTTTAAACTAAATAAACTACCCAGTATGAACACTTGTATAGCCCTTATTAAAAACATTCGTTCCTCAAGTTGTAAAAATGTGCTAATAACGTTATTCTGAGAGTTACTGTATTTCCCTCTGCATTATGAACGCACACCTAACCCACGGGACCGCGCCGCCCGGCACGTTCATGTTACGTGTTCAGCATGGTCCCACCAATCAGGGCACACTGTGCTCACAGGGAGGGTGGGGGCTGGAGCTACAACGAGCCGTTAGAGGCAGAGAGTGAAATTCAGTGAATACAATATTACACGTAGTTTACAGAGATGCTGTATGAGAAACCAATGTGAGTTGCGTTTATCTTTACCCATGGATGCACAATAAGAACGGACCCATATCGTCTTACTGCCATCCCACGGAGCTGTAATAATGGATATATTGCACATGTTTGCTGTAATTCATTATTATACTTACATAGGCTGTATGATTAAAAGGTAGTGGACCGCAGGTAACTTAATGTGTTATTAATAAAGTTACACTATTACCAGACGTTAGTAGCTTCCTCTATGCACTAAGAAGCTTATTGCACTGCATAGCAAAAATAGCTTTAGTCAGCCACCAATTGTTGCAAGTTCTCCCACTAAAAGATGAGAGAGGCCTGTAATTTTTCATCCTAGGTATACTTCTACTATGAGAGACAAAATGAGGAAAAAAAAGCAAATCACATTGTCTGATTTTAAAGAATTTCTGTTGCAAATATGGGTGAAAATAAAGTATTTGGTCATGCTACCAAAGAAACAAGATGTCTGGCTCTCACAGTCCTGTAACTTCTTCTTTACGAGTCCTCCTCGTGTCCTCCACTGATAAGTGTAATTATGGCACCTGTTTGAACTCGGTATCTGTATAAAAGCATGTAACCTGGTAGCCAACCTCAACCGTCACACTCAAACTCCACTAGGTAAGGTAGCAAGAGCTGTCAGGACACAGAACAAAATTGTAGTACCTGCACCAGGGCTGGGGACTGAATCTTGCAGGATAGGTACGCGCGAGCTTGACGTGTGAAGATTGACTGGTGGCCTTATTGAAAATGGTGAAGGCATACAAGCCACTGATAATCTCCTCGGATCTGGGAGAGTCCACGCAAGATCTCACCCTGATGGTGTAAAATGCATCACAGGCAACGCGTCGAGTCTATAGATCCCAGGCGTATACGTAATACGGCGGTGCCGACTTTGTCATCTTGCAGAGACTGGGACATGCGTATACCCAACTCTCGCAATTTCACTCATCTGGTGCGCAGGTTATTGAGTAGTGTTTTCAAGTTCTATGTTTATTTTGAGTAGCTGTCAAGACTCAGCACGAAACCTGAGCTCAGATGTTATTCCTGTCGGGATGTTTTGGTTTGGNCCCGTGGGGTCAAAATGATCACAAGAACGGTGAGCAAAAATCCCAGAACCACACGGGGGGACCTAGTCAATGACCTGCAGAGAGCTGGGACCAAAGTAACAAAGGCTACCATCAGTAACACACTATGCCGCCAGGGACTCAAATCCTGCAGTGCCAGACGTGTCCCCCTGCTTAAGCCAGTACATGTCCAGGCCCGTCTGAAGTTTGCTAGAGAGCATTTAGATGATCCAGAAGAGGATTGGGAGAATGTCATATGGTCAGATGAAACCAAAATATAACTTTTTGGTAAAAACTCAACGAGACGTGTTTGGAGGAGAAAGAATGCCGAGTTCGATCCAAAGAACGCCATACCTACTGTGAAACATGGGGGTGGAAACATCATGCTTTGGGGCTGTTTTTCTGCAAAGGGACCAGGACGACTGATCCGTGTAAAGGAAAGAATGAATGGGGCCATGTATCGTGAGATTTTGAGTGACATCCTCCTTCCATCAGCAAGGGCATTGAAGATGAAACGTGGCTGGGTCTTTCAGCATGACAATGATCCCAAACACACCACCCGGGCAACGAAGGAGTGGCTTCGTAAGAAGCATTTCAAGGACCTGGAGTGGCCTCGCCAGTCTCCAGATCTCAACCCCATAGAAAATCTTTGGAGGGAGTTGAAAGTCCGTGTTGCCCAGCGACAGCCCCAAAACATCACTGCTCTAGAGGAGATCTGCATGGAGGAATGGGCCAAAATACCAGCAACAGTGTGTGAAAACCTTGTGAAGACTTACTGGAAACGTTTGACCTCTGTCATTGCCAACAAAGGGTATATTACAAAGTATTGAGATGAACTTTTGTTATAGACCAAATACTTATTTCCACTATAATTTGCAAATAAAGTCTTTCAAAATTTTTGAAAGACTTTATTTGCAAATTATAGTGGAAATAAGTATTTGGTCTATAACAAAAGTTCATCTCAATACTTTGTAATATACCCTTTGTTGGCAATGNAGTCCTGGATCTTGAGCCGTGGCTGTGGTCCTGGATCATAAGTCCTGGATGGATATACTCGTGGATTCATCTTCCTATTATACACACATGCATTTCCAAACATTTGGACTGCCTATATTGCAAATGTATTATCTTTTCAATTTACACACGGCATCTATTGCACGTCTGTCCGTCCTGGGAGAGGGATCCCTCCTCTGTTGCTCTCCCTGAGGTTTCTCCCATTTTTCCCTTTAAACTGTGGGTTTTCTCTGGAAGTTTTTCCTTGTACGATGTGAGGGTCTAAGGACAGAGGGTGTCGTATTGTCATACTGATATTCTGTACAAACTGTGAAGTCCACTGAGACAAATGTAACATTTGTGATATTGGGCTATATAAATAAACATTGATTGATTGATTGATTCAGCTGAGAGTTTATGTTTATGTTTATTTAGGATCCCCATTAGCTTTCGCTCTTGACAAAAGCTACTTTTCCTGGGGTCCGACACTTAAAAGAATACAACAATAATACAACAATAATACAATAATGAGTTTCCCTGACAGAGCAGCAGTGAGACCGGACCTCAATCCGGATGGGCACGAAACCCGGCCTCACACCCCTCACTGAGCCAAGAAAACTCTGAAGTAACCCTTTGTTTTCGAGACAACAATCATGCTGCGGAAACAATTTATGATCTGCTGTTGGTGTCTTTCACAACAGCAACAATTTCATACACAACCGGTAAATTCATTCATTTAGAACAATTAAAAGCAGGGTTCAGTGTGCTTTACAAACTAGTATATTACTTAGTTTATATCACACTCCCTCCCTTCCTCTCCCTGATGTGTCCAACATCATCCGATACCTCCCCCAACGCAGGATCTGACCCTCTGACTGCTCACACCTGAACAAACAATACCCTCTCTTTCATAGCCGTCCAATAACATGTGTATTATTCTACGAATTTGACAACATAGTCTAGTTATTGGACACAACACAGTTAAAATCAACATTACGACATATTCTTCGCAAGATATTGAATGTATCCCAGTTATTTAAATGTCACGA